CGTCGCTTGGCGCAACAAAGCCTGGCATATGATATCACAACGTCTAGTTTGAGAATGGAGGTGAAGGCAGTCACTGCTGCCTTCCGTTGGCTTGAGAATCAGCTGTACACACATGTCGTCATTGTAACTGACTCACAGAGCATGTTGAAAAAGGTGGTTACAGGTATGATCCGTGCAGAGTGGCAAACATCACTTCAGAGGTCCTGGGTGGTTAGCATCCTTTGGATATTTTTTCCAAGTACGCTGGTGTGTTGGGAAATGAGTAAGCGGATAGACTGGCCGGTTCTGCACCACTTGGTAGTGAACTGATATATGACAAGCTGGATGTTGTGAGGGCCCTTTGGGAGCGAGTGAACAGTGCCGAGGAGCAGATAGATCATTACGGTCTGAAGAGAATGGCACTGCTAGGAGTTACAAGGGGATCTGGCCGACGCTCGACACTCGGGGGAGGGGCGAGACGGATATAAAATCAGATTGTTACTGGTACCATCGGAATTTTAACTCTTCGCTTGCTGCTGAAGATGGGGACGGAGCGATTTTGGGAGTGTCCTGAGTGCTGTGATGTCGATTCCTATTCCAACATTCAACATTCATTTTAAAGTGCGGAAGGTCGTAAGTCAGATAAGTCGTAAGTCGAAGAAAAGGCCTATTTTTTCATGAAATAATTTTTTTTTTAGCCATCTTGTTACAATTTTTAATCTGTGGTCTTCATCTGTTTGTAAGCCAATATCTTTGCAGCTTCCACATAATCTCTCTAACATACTGTCAGTTATTTAGACAAAGACAATTTGTCTGTGCTTCAAACCGTCATTATTAATTACACTGTCAATCTGTCAACGGGTGTAGTGTTGACACAGCCATCCAATTGCGTTGCTATATGTCACATAGGGGTCATGTCACATCGGGACCACGTTTTGACGGGAGCATGGGTGAACATCTTAACCTGCACAGTCCGTGGCGACAGCACTAGTCATGTGGCCCTAAATAGTCTGGCTCTCGACCTCCCTGTCTCATCATCATCATCAGGTGCCTTGCCGACTGGCGTGGGCGATCATGCCTCTCCATAATCTGCGATCTCCTGCAGCATGTATCAGTTCGTGTGCCGACACACCTCCAAGCCATGCAACAATACTGTCAAGCATCCTCTCTCGTTGTCTTTCTCTATCCCTTTTTCCACAGATCTTTCCAGTGGTCACAACATGTTCTATTTTCCCTCTTCTCATAACATGGCCGAAAAATGTTGACTGTCTCCTTCTGATGTCTGTGATAAGTTGTCTTCGGGCTCCCGCCTCTTTCAAAACCTCTTAGTTGCTCTTTTTGGCTGTCCAAGGTATTCTAAGCATTCTTCTGTAAAACCACATCTCTGAGGCCTCTAAAAATTGTTTGGCCTGCCTACCGATTGTCCAGGATTCACATCCATATGTTAAAACTGGATGTATATAGCAAGCAAGAATTCTTTTTCTAACTCTCAATGACAAGGATATATTGCACAAGATGTTTTTCATTTTATAAAATGTCTACACTGTCTTAAACGTGCTAAATCAGACATTAGTGACAGTTTTAATATTTTCGATATTGTGTGTTGAATCTTCTTCTTCTTCTTTGAATCTTTTTCGATATCTCCGGTTTCTCACATTAGCATTCAGCGTATGCAAGCTTCACTGCAAAGGTCACGGGTAGTGAGCATACTTTGGATCTTTTCTCCAGGCAATGCCGGCGTGGGGGTAATGAACAGGCAGAAAGATTGGTTGAATCTGCACGACTGTGTTGTGAATTGATACATGACAAGGCAGATATGGTCAAGGCTCTTTGTGAACAAGCAACTGAATCAGTAGAGATAGAAGATTATTATGGCCAGGAGAGAATGAGGCACCTGGGTTTAACCAGAGGGTCTGGCTGGCTGACTACACTCAGAGGAAAGGCAAGACGGACATTCAACCAGATTGTGACCGATACCATCAGTATTGGATCTCTGCGCTTGCTGCTGAAGATGAGGACGGAGCATGCATGGGAATGTCCCGAGTGCTGTGATGTCAATTCTTGACTCAACTCGACTCATTCTTTGTATGTGTGAGTGTGTGTGTGTGTGTGTATGTGTATTTCATACACCACATATTTAGTACATTCTCACATGCACACTACACATAGGGAATGCGTTCTCTCCTCTCTCTCTCTCTCTCTCTCTCTCTCTCTCTCTCTCTCTCTCTCTCTCTCTCTCTCTCTCTCTCTCTCTCATTCTCTTTCCATTTCTCTCATACACAACATAGAAAGCACATTATCTCTCTCCTCTAAATACACACACAAGCTACACGCAACAAATCTCCTTCCCCCCCCCCCCTCTCTCTCTCTCTCTCTCTCTCTCTCTCTCTCTCTCTCTCTCTGACACACACACTCATACATGACAGATAAGTAACAAACAGTGGAATGTGTGTTACTCAACGCCTGATCTGTTTGCGATGGATTATTAAGTTACAGTTTGTTGCTTTTGCACAGGACTTTTTTTCCGCAGTTTTGTGTTTCACATCCTGCTCCATTTTTCTGACTATTCTGCTTTTGCCTTTAAAAATGCGGTTAGCGCGGTATGTTGTGGTTTACAGCTAATATACTGTCATCTTTATCATTATCCGTAACACTGCATGTCGATGGGTCACCAGCTTCTGTTGACTCCGATGGAGTTCGAGGTTGCATACCTCAGACCTGTCAAGTCAGTCAAAATCTGTATCCGGACCTTTCTTGGTCTGCCTCTGCACCTCTTCCCTTCTACTGTCCTGTAGCATTGTTTTTGAGAGGTCTTTAGATCTTACTACATGTGCGTATCATTGCATTTTTTACCTTTCTACTGTAGCTACAGTCAGCCACAACTCTTTATAAGAAGATATGGAGGATAGTGGAGCTGTTCTTCCACACTTCCACACTATCAATGTGTCCTCCTAGAAGGCAAACAGGAAATCCTGCAGTCTATAGATCATATTGGCGATACTAGAGATGTTACAGGAATCACTGTTCACGAACATACAAATAAAAAAGGCTCCGCGGATAGACAGAAAACAGCAATAGATCGTGCTGCCCAAAGTCCATATTAACGAACATAAAATGATAAATAATGGATCTTTTTACTTCTTCTTCTTCTTCTTCTTCTTCTTCTTCTTCTTCTTCTTCTTCTTCTTCTTCTTCTTCTTCTTCTTCTTCTTCTTCTTCTTCTTCTTCTTCTTCTTCTTCTTCTTCTTCTTCTTCTTCTTCTTCTTCTTCTTCTTCTTCTTCTTCTTCTTCTTCTTCTTCTTCTTCTTCTTCTTCTTCTTCTTCTTCTTCTTCTTCTTCTTCTTCTTCTTCTTCTTCTTCTTCTTCTTCTTCTTCTTCTTCTTTTCCCCCCACGTCGTCGGAGGACGTAATTGCATTGTGGCTGTATACGGCATCGCGACAATATTGGCGTATTTTGAGATGCACATTTGACTTCTTTGGCGATCGTTGCCAGTATTAGACTTTCTGGGGAAAGGGTACCAGCCGTGTGTAATTGTTAATCAAATAAAACAACTTTACAAAAAAAGTTTATAAAAACATGTGTGCAGAAAAACGGTTAAAATAATATTAACCAAAAAAAAAAAAAAAATTAAATTAAAAAAAAAAAACACATACACAGTATTTATCCTAATGTCACACAGTAAGGTCTGATCGAAATATAGTGCACGCCCCACATAAAGGTCCCGCCGTTATATAAATTAGCGCAAAACTGTCTGCTGCCACACAAGAAGAAGAGGAGGAGGATCATTAGGAGCGGTGACAGCAGTAGAGGCAAAATGCGAAAGGGAAACAAAACTACACAGAGAGAGAGGTGGGGGAGGGGGGGGGGGGGAGAAAAGATAGCTTTACCTGGGGCAGTAATAAGAACACGAAACAACAATAAGACATAGGTCTCTAACGCTGTTTGAAGGCCACTGAAATATTACAGTACTACATTCCACGCGTTTTATTTTAAAATTTATTCATATTCCCGGTCCACAATGTGTGTAGCCTTCGAAAGAGGAAATAATATTTGAAACCAGGAGATTAACACAGTTGTAACCAATAAATTTTTTCTAGTGCAGTGGTGCAATACCCTATTTGTTATCCAGATTACTCCACGAATAAATGTAACACATAATATTGTAACGGAATGCTGTTGTGCGGAACGTATTATTGCCTGGTTTAATCTCAAATACATTTTCAGCAGGCAATGTCTGTTGGCAGCTTTAAATTGAAGAGACATGTTGGTGATACGGGCTTCGGATGGTGTGACAAGAGTTTTGACGACTTCCCATTTGGGTTCTGGGCCATGGAGAGGTTATAGGTTATATGAATAGACCCATTGTGTCTTAAGAAGAGACCCATTGTGTCCTAAGAAGAGACCCATTGTGTCTTAAGAAGAGACCCATTGTGTCCTAAGAAGAGACCCATTGTGTCTTAAGAAGAGGCCCATTGTCTCATTATAAGGATGTTGCAAAAGACGTCTAATTAGACTGACATCGCACAGATATTGCAGCCTAGCGGTAAACATGACGGTCAACCACCCTTTTAATGGCGCACGTAAAAGAAGAAAAAAAGAAGAAGAAAAAGAAGAAAAAGAAGAAGAAGAAGAAGAAGAAGAAGAAGAAGAAGAAGAAGAAGAAGAAGAAGAAGAAGAAGAAGAAAAAGAAGAAGAAGAAGCAGCAACAGGAGAAGGAGAATCAGGAGGAGAAGAATCACCACTACCAACAGTAGTGGGTGCAACCCTACAAGACACGTATGTTAGAGATCTCTGTTGTTCATGGCCCGTTCTGGAAGTGACATATATCCAACGTTGATTACTGAAGAAACAGAAGAAATGCAAAAAGGAAAAGAAATCAGTGCCAATAAATACATCAATTGTGTTTTTGTGTATTTGACATACTTTTTATTATATATATATTTATTATTTTCAATTTTTTAACAGATATAATTAATGAGACGAACGGACAGGATCCCTGCCAGTATTGAAGTGGTGTGATATGCAGAACTACAGGGACCCACCTCCCTACCCTTCACACTCTAAACAGGTGGCTTATATTATTATAGTTAGACTGTTTATGTTAGTCAGTTAATAATGCCCTTATAAGTTTCTATAGGAAAATAATGATACATGGTAGGGGAGCTGGCCTCTCGCACAGCCCTGCTCCTTTATCATCCTGACATAGGACCTGCAATGACAGATATGACTGTGTGTGTGAGAGTGGAATAAACATACCACAGATTTAATTACATCCTGGCTGGCATATTCACAGAAACATCAGCTTTTGCAAGTATGCTATTTCTCTTAAAGTCCAGCCATGCGGCGAGGGTAGTCATGTCTGTCCACAACCTTCTGTCTCGTGTATTTACTGTCAGTGCTCTGATACAGAAGATTCTCCATACCATGACGCCAAACTGTCCAGGATCTTTTCTCTTGGTCTCCTCTGCCTCTTCTCCCCTCTAACTTTCCACCTTTACTACGCGGGATTGCCACTGGTACCCATTCAAGGCTGGGTCGACCTGGGAGTCAAGGTTATTTAAAAAAAAAAAAGTCAGGCTCGGCCAGGAAGCGAACCCACGACCTTTAAGCGCTCTGGTAGGGATTCGAAAGAACAACAGCAGAAGGCATGTTACCAGGAAAGTGGAACAGGAGCTAGTCAGCACAAGGATCGGTACGACGTCCTACATAAACCTGCTGTATGTAAACTTTGTTAGTGTAAGTTACTGTCAGTTTCTTTGAATCGTGTCATGCTTCAATACCAGGTTGATTATCTTCGTCTTTATCATCAGTTTCCACTTGGGTCATTAGGCATCGTTGGAAGGAACAGATTGCGATCCATTGCTAGATGGACAGCAGTTTCAATTGTCGTTCCTTGTCGATGTAGCAGCTCTTTAGTGTCATCAATTCATGTTCTGCTCTTGCTTGCACTTCAGGTCTTTTCATATGTAACCGCGTGCGTTGGTAGTTGTTCTGGCTGCATTCTTACTAAATGACCAAACCATTTGATCTTCTGATTCTCAATTAATTAACTGCATGATGTTGTTCCTTCAGTCTGATATAATTTCTAACTTTGTCTCCGACATTTCAGTTGGCTGCTTTTCTCAGGCATCTCATTTTATAGGTCCTAATTTTACGCAGGTTCTTCTTGTTCTTTACGTCCTCTTTTACCGCTTCGGGTGTTGCTTCGTGCTTTTCTGGCTGCTTCGACCAAAGACACATTGTGGTACTGTAGAGTTTCTCCGATGTTATCCTCTTATCTTTTTCTTGGTCTACCTCTTGCTCTACGTCCCTCTCCTCATTTGATGTATGCCTTGAATCGTATAGAATCAGAATGCCTTCTGTCCAAGTGGGCAAACCATTCAATTTGCTGTCTTACGCATGTTAACCTGTGATAATGTCTAAGGCAGAGTTTGCTCCAGACGGAGGAAAAGAAAGTCATTTACTGCGGAGATTTCAACGCCAGAGGACACCAGTGGGGCAATGTAATCACTAATAAACAGGGGGAAGACCTGGAGGATGCCCTAGTGTCTGCCAATCTAGTATGCTTGAACGACGGAAAGGTTACCCGAATGGCAACACGACAAGGGGATTCTGACAGCGTAATTGACCTGGCCCTAGTGTCTCCCTCCATTGCATCAGGATGCAGGTGGAGCACACTGGGATACCACGACAGTGATCACTTTCCTTGCGTCGTCCTGGTAGAGAAGAGCAACAACAAAGGTCATGTAATCAATGTGCCTGCTTTTATATATGACCGTACAGGGCAAGATGCCATTAGCAAAATCCGACGACGTAAAACAAGAGTAGATCGCAGACGGCGGGAGAGATGGGCCCAGCCACCATGGTGGAATGAAGTAGTCAACATGGCGTGGCTAGAAAAAAAGGAAAGCTGTCAAGGAATGGCAAAAGGCAAGGAAAATTGATCCGTCACTTTCTGAACGCCTGATCAATCTGAAAGATGAGGTCAACAAGCAGACAGTGGCTTTCAAGGTAATTGCGAAGGAAGCTAAGACAGCGAAATGGAACGAATTCTGCAAGAGCGTTTGCTCCGAGGGATCTCTTGTGACATTCTGGCGCCTTCAACGGAGCATGCACCGCGCCGCACGACCTAGGGGTATCCCTGATTTTCAGGGTACAGACCTGATATGGCAGAGAACTGATGCTGATAAAGGAAAAACCCTTCTGGCGCGCTACTTTGAGCAAACTGACCAAAAAGACGAAGCTACAAGAATAGGGGTTAAGATGAAACTGTCGATGCTGTGCGAGAACACTGTGTTAGACACTGATCTCACAATCACTGCAGATACCTTAAGAACTTGCCTCAAGAAATCGCGCAGCACTGCTCCAGGCCCTGACGGCATCCGATACAACGACATGCTGATGATGTCGAATGCTGATTTGAAAAGAGTGGCAAAGGAATTCAATATCAGCATCCAGAGTGGCCAGATACAAGAGGAATGGCTCCATAGTTATTTGTTTCCACTACTAAAGCCTAATAAAGACCACTCAAAAATCTGCGGCTACAGAATCATCTCGATGCAGAATACTGTTGGCAAACTTTTGGAAAAAATTGTCGCACAAAGATTGACCACCTACTTGGAACTACATGATAAGTTCCCACCAACACTTGGAGGGTACAGGTTAAATAAAGAGACATGGTTCAATGCAGCAGTTTTCGCCTACGATGTGTACGAGGGATTTCAGATTAAAGAAGAGACATGTGCGGCAGTGTTGGACTTAGAAGATGCCTACAATAAAGTACCATACGATTATTTAATGCAATTACTGCTTAAACTAGAAGTTAATCCTATTCTGATCCGCTGGATTGCTGCGGTCCTGTTCCAGAGAAAGATTGTACTAAGATGTGGTAGCTGGTCCTCCGAACCGCAAACGATATGTCCAGGTTTGCCACAAGGATCACCGCTATCACCAGTCTTATTCAACGTTTACACGGTGATGATCACTGAGCAGCAGTTGAATGGAAAGGGAAGGACTTTGTCATTTGCTGATGACATTTTGATTTATCGACGAGGGCGTGATAGACAGGAGATCGCCAGCACTATGCACAAAGAACTCGATCGAATTGCCGCCTGGTGTGATGGTTCCAATGCCTATGTCAATCCTTCGAAGGCATCAGTGTCATGGTTCTCTTTGAACAATCACATTGTCAAGTCGGACTTACCAGAAGTGAAAATGCTTGATAATGTATTGATCAGAACCAACGTTATGACGTTTCTCAGGGTGAGATTCGATCGCAGCTTGTCATTCAGGGAACACGTTGACCATGTGATAACAAAAGCACGCAAAGGTCTATCTGCAATGAGGATTATGGCTGCTTCCAATATTGAGCAGACTACTAATACTTCTATTCTACGGTCTGGTCCTTTCCCCCATTGAATACGCTCTGGCCATCCTCACTGTCAGTGCTACCCAGATTGAACGACTCGAAAAGGTGCAAAATGAAGACATGCGCATTATTTTGGGATGTACTAGAGACACATCCTGTGGAGCAATGAGGTATCTACTTGACTTTCCAACAATGAACCAAAGGATCAGGATGTGGAGGGCTCGGGCATATCTCAAAATATGCGCTGATAAGAAACACCCACTGCATCAAGCGCTTTTTAGTGAAAAGGGCGACAGACTGAAGAGGGGGAAATCGTGGCTAGGTCGGGCAGAAGATGTTATTAGGCAAATATGCAGCCTAACCGACATCATACCTGGTGCAGAATGGATACCTGTGCCTCAGGCGTTTATTTGTACATTTTCCTGTATTGTCACACTCAACAGGCGATGTAGAGAAGAGAATCCTGTTGCTGTTAATGCAGAGGTCAACGCTCTCATCGGATCCGTTATACGCCAAAGAAGAAGCGCATGGGCATTTACAGCACGCTCAGCGGGCAGAACAGTCAAAGAAGCCAACGGCGCCTTCTCCATGACAACCAGCAGCATGACGATGGAGGTGATGGCAGTGACACAAGCGCTTGCCTGGCTTGAAACACAAAAATACACCCGCGTGTGTATACTCAGTGATTCAATGAGTATGATAAGGAGGGTTCAGGCAGGTTCAGTGCGAAGACAATGGCTTGAATCATTACAGAAGTCCACTGTTCGTGGAGTCACCTTTATTTTTGTTCCGGGACACGCAGGCGTCAATGGAAATGAAAGAGCTGACAGGTTGGCTGGATCCGCTATCACTACCGACGGTCAGCCTATGGATCATGCTGATATTATCAATGCCCTCAGAGAAATGGGAAGAATAGAGGACTTTGGTGGCAGTGAATCCACATCACTCGCCAGAATGGCAGACTTGGGAATTAAGATCGGCACAGCAAAAAACGAGACGCACACCAGCTACGCCAGAAGACTTGTTAATCAACATAGAACTGGTACTATTAGCCATCGGACGTTGGGGTTTATACTGAGGGGAGGATCTGAGCACCTATGGACATGTCCGGAGTGCAATGAGGATAACCCAACTAACTAACTAACTAATGTCTAAGTCTGGCAATTGTACCACAGTGTCAGTATGAATGAATATGCTGTTTATAATCTGTTTCTTGGCGCTTGTACTTATGTTTGGATGATTTAATAATCGTGTTAGTTGTTACATAAGTTCACTGCCTCGATGGTTTCTTGTTTCTATTTACTGATCCATTCTCCCGTTCTCCAAAAATATACTTCCAAGAACTTTAAATCTTGAACTTGCTTCAGATAAGTATCACTCAACTTTATGCTTAGCAGAAAAGCCATTCGGCTGACTTGCATCACTTCACTTTCAGTAGAATTTATTTTCATGTGTCATCTTGTGGATGTTTAGCTCAGCCTGTTGAAACAGTTGTGCAGTCTATCTCCTCACTGCAGAACAGGCACTGGCCATCTGCAAATAGTAGCTTGTTTTTTGAGTATGGATCTAAATCTAATCGAGTTGGTATAAATAATTATGTAAACGTCTTTGAATTCGGTCATCATTATTCTTCAGTTAGCATAAATAGCTGTCATTTTCTTTTAATCTTGTCATATTGGTTACGTAATAACTAAACTTTTAAATGATATTTATAAAAGTGGGTATATTCCAAATGATCTATTAAAATTCATATTTATAGCTCTGCCTAAGAAACCAGGCACTATAACATGTGAAGACCATCGCACAATAAGTCTTATGAGTCACATGACTAAGATTTTACTGAGAATAATTATGAGAAGAATAAGAAACAAAATTAAACCACAAATCAGCGATGAACAATGTGGATTTGTAGAAGGAAAATGTACAAACAATGCCATATACATCCTAAGGACATTGTCAGAAAGAGCTATAGAAGTAAAGACTGATTTGTACTTATGCTTCATAGACTATACAAAAGCATTTGACTGTGTGAAGCATGAAGAAGAAATCAAACTGTTAGAAAAATAAAGAATATGTATTGGCAGCAAACAGCAGCTATAAGAATTAACAACTGTTTTGGTACATTTCAAAGCATAAAGAATGGCGTACGACAAGGATGTGTACTGTCACTTGATTTGTTTTCAATATACAGTGAATATATAATGATAGCTTTAATTAGTATGCCCGGATTTGTGGTTGGTGGGCACAATATAAACAATTTACGTTATGCTGATGACACAGTCTTGATAGCAACAAGTCAGAAAGAACTACAGGAAATGATAGGCATTGTGGTGTTAGAAAGTGGAAGATTGGGCCTCAGTTTGAATAATGGGAAGACAGAAGTAATGGCGGTATTAAAGAAACGAAGTATTCCTAAGTGTGTAATAAAAGTTGATGGTGTTATTTTAGGACAAGTACAGAAATTTAAGTATCTGGGCACATGGATAACATCAGATGGAAGATGCATAACTGAGATAAGAAATAGAATAGGACAGACAAAAACTGCATTTTATAAAATGAAAAACATTTTGTGCAATATATCTTTGTCATTGAGAGTTAGAAAAAGAATTCTTGCTTGTTACATACATCCAGTTTTAACATACGGCTGTGAATCCTGGACAATCGGTAGGCAGGCCAAACAATTTCTGGAGGCCTCGGAGATGTGGTTTTACAGAAGAATGCTTAGAATATCTTGGACAGCCAAAAAGAGCAACCAAGGGGTTTTGAAAGAGGCGGGGGCCCGAAGACAACTTATCACAGACATCAGAAGGAGACAGTCATCCTTTTTCGGCCATGTTATGAGAAGAGGGAAAATAGAACATGTTGTGACCACTGGAAAGATATGTGAAAGGAGAGAAAGAGGAAGACAACGAGAGAAGATGCTTGACAGTCTTGTTGCATGGCATGGAAGTGTGTCTGCATACGAACTGATACATGCTGCAGGAGATCGCAGATTATGGAGAGGCATGATCGCCCACGCCAGTCGGCAAGGCACCTGATGATGATGATTGGTTACGTAGAGAGTTGGTATAAATAAATCTAGCCTTAAATATGTATCAGGTATATTCATGGGAAGTAAAGGCGGCTGGTATGATGTTGACCACATTGATCTATAATAATGCGAGTCTTACAATATGACCGGTATACTGAATATTATTGAACTAACCGTCTGCTCTTACCTTTTTATCTGCAGACTTACCCAAACCAGCCAGGATTTCGCCAGAGCTACTCCGGCAGTGAGACAAGCACAGATGTTTCAGTTTCTTCCAATGAAAACCTGGCCACTACTCAACGTCAGGAACCCCAAGGAGAGGAGACTCAAACCAGCTTCAACTACCACCTAGACCTGGGGACTACAGACGGTAGTAGCTACAGCATTCTAGAACGTTTGGGGATGCCTTCGCGGGCTTTAGAATCATCAGCCAAATCCGCTGGTGGGAGCAGTTCAAATCTGCAAGTTTCTCACGAAAGAACTCTTCAGCAGAATTTCACTGCCAGTACGTCTGCCTCAAATACCTACAGACATTCAGCAAATTCCTCCCCGCTTTATTCTCAGGGACATTTGACAGTTCCCGAATGGCAGTTAGGAAGTAAAGTGTTGCGATTGCATGGCACCTACACACCTCAGCAGAGAGAAGGGACGCCAAGGCTCGGCGAGTATACGTCCTCCTCTTCAAGATCTGAAAATGAATCCTTATTGTCCGCATCTTCTTCGTCATCATCATTAACAACAGTCAATCGAGAAGGTGGAGGTTACTCATCAAATATTTCATCGTTAGAACGTAGTGCATCCGGAGGAGGTATTAATGGGCTGGGAAGTGGTATGTTGATATCTCCAGCCTCAAGTTACCAGTATCTATCACCACGAGTTCCTCCCGTTTCTACTTACCACCATCCGCATCCGTATGTGAACACTCAGTGGATTATTGGTAGTGATGATGTCAAACTTAGCTCATATTCTTCCAATGCAGGTTACAATTCAACCTCTTCTTCTGTAACCTACGCACAGAAAGGCCCCGGAGCAAACACTGACACTTACCCCAGTCATCAGTACCTCAACAATCTTCCTCCTCCTCCCGAGTACCCAGGAGGGTCTAATACAACTCCTTTTTCCGAAAAGGGAGCGGATATTCGGACGTGCAGATCCTATGAAGCGATGGATAAGATGGATGCTCGCAGATCTCAGCCTGATTTAAGACTGTGTGCTTCTAGTCCTGGTATTTTTATACACGATGTTAAATTTCAGAGTCCGCGAAGGTGAGAGCATTTAAACAGACACAATAATTACACAACGATGAATCAATAAACATTGACTGTTCTATCTTCTTCTTCTGCCTTTCTATCCCCCAATAGAGCATAGGCTCTCAATCATCTCACGCCAAGTCCTTTTTTCTTTCGCTTTTTCATGGAGCTCTCCCCATATCCTCACCAACTTTCTTACATCATTCTCCAGCTCTCTTCTCCATGGTTTTTTTTTCTTTTTTTTTTCTTTCCTTTTCCTTTATTTCTATGTCCCTGTGGGTTCCAATGCAAAGACATTCTAGTTATGCTGTTCTCCGGTTTTCTCAATGTGTGTCCTATCCAACGCCAGCATCTTCTCCTCACCTCTTGGTCCACTGGAGCTTGCTTAGTTCTCTCTCAGGGCTCTACATTTTGATTCTATCATACCATACAATCCCGTCTATTCTGCGCAGGTACTAGTTAATGAATGTCTGTAATTTATTAGTAACTAGCTGTACCCGACCACGTGTTGATGTGGCAACGTTTGGCTAAATGAAAAAATAGAGAACATAAAAATCTTGATTCGCTTCACGCCAACGATGTACTGTAGAACCACCCAACAAATAACTACTAATACTTTGAGTGGGTAAGGCAGTTACTGTGACTTAAATCTATCTCAGTAAACAGTTTATTTAACTTCCCCATCCCCCAGGTCACCCACTACTTTTTCACTCACCGAAGTAGTTGGAAAAAATGCCCTAGTGAAAAGCAACAAAAACAGGAAAAATACACCATAATTACGAAATGAACACTATGGTAAACTACCCTGCGCGGTTTCCTACGATAGAAATTCAATTGAAAGGAAAGTCGCTTTAACAAAATGTAATTATATTGGATCATTGTGCCTATTTCATATCTTTAGGAAAAAACAGGTAATTCAAAATGTCATTGTAAGTTTGTTTACTGAAGTGCTTTCGGGTATACAATGTTCTTTATTTTTTCCGTCTGGCGCGTACACAAATAAATCAGAAGGTTTTCCGACGCGTGAACAGGCCACATATAGCTGTCCATTTGAAAAGCATGGATGCACCGAATTGCAATACTCAACATTGATGTGTACTTTGTACGTCTTCGAGAGTAACGGTGAATACGGTGCAACCCAACGATTATCAACTTCAACATCATTGTTTCGCACTTTTAAAATGATGGATTCGCCGCCATCTTCAACTGATCGTCGACGATAGAGAGGATATCCGTCATTGCCAGTGATAGTTTCGCAATGCAAGTCTTTTGGGGATCTTTTCATGAATTTTCCATCAGATATGCATGGTGAAATATTGTTTAGTAAGCCGCATGGACCATGAATCATGGTTTTGGTGACGACTGCAAATAAGTGTGGATCAATGTTGACATCTGGTATATCTGCTGAGATAACCTGATCAATCTGACCTGGTGTGATTTTGTTGATGATCCAAATCAAAATGTGTGCATGCGGCAATCCTCTTTTTTATGCCATTCGATGGAATACATCCAACAGCGGGTCTCTCCAAAAACATGATGCTTGACAATGAAATCCATTAAAGATTTCAATTTTTGTTTAAACACACGCACTGTAATATCATGACGATCCGATGATAATTGTCCAGGTAACAAAAGTTCTTTGATTTAATCCCATGTAGGATTGCATGTAAACGTGATAAATATATCTGGACGGCCATGTACGCGAACATATGTCATTGCATCTTGTGCATACTCGTGTATGTGTCGTGGACTATCTGTAAATGTGGCTGGAAATATGACCATTTTCCCCAACTCATCAGGATTAAAATTGCCATCATAAACAACTGAATCGCATAACTGAATGTACTCCTCTTTACGCAAACTTAGTTTGATGTAATTGAATATAGAGGAGTAGCTCGGTTTCAATTTTTACATACATATCGAACAGTGTATTGGTGGAACAATTGTCGACATTTCAAGATATGATTGTTAGCGTTTTCACGAACCATCAATCGATATGCATGAGCGATGAGTTTCTGAGACTCGCTGAACATCACCATTTCTGCGATGAAGAATTATATAACGCAAGTTAAAGTCTTCGCCAACCATAATAATCGCCACTTCATCAATTGTTGGTGCATTGTAGTGTCTATCGTGTTGGCCGACAGGTGTTTTGTCAGCTCTGAGTACAACTCTGTAATCATCAGCTGGTATTTGTTGAAGAGCTGTTCTGAACAATCTAATTATTTTGTTGTGTTGATCAAATAAATTTTGTAAAGCAGCGACTATTTCTCCTTGTGTCGAGTTATTGAATCTACAACGTTGATCCATTTGTTGATCAGTGTTTCCCATGACATAAATCTGAAGAAATTTGTAATCTGCGTCTGGCAGTGGTAGTAGTGAGCCAGCACGATGATAAATCTGGCCTTGTACTTTGAATGTCGGCATGTATATTCTCGCGCACAATATTTGTTGAACCGAATGATGCCATCTGGAAACATAAATTGTATTTGCGAATGTTTGCCAAGAAATGTTTCGACTGGCCTGTGTCATCTGCTACCGATGATGAAAATGGTTCGGGTGGTGAATGTAATACTGGCAATTTAACTTTTCCACCAGCGCAACACATTCCCGGTGTTTCATTCTTAAATTTGAAGGCACTGCAATGTACGCACAATTTATCAATTTTGCCAATAAGCACCTGCGGATTAAGACTGTAATCATAATTGCTGGTGTAATGGAATGCCCCAAGATTCAAATCAACATTCGGTGTTTGCCTGGATACAGTAGTGCGCATTCGAATAGTTTCCAGTCTTGCTTTCCGTTGCTTGGCTGTTTCTGATAAACGGACTTGTGCAGTGAGTACTCTATTGGTTTCCAGTCTTGATTCTCGATGCTCGTCTGACTGAGACGATCTTGCTTCAGCAGTGCGCACTCGAACGTTTTCTAGTCTTGCTTTCCGTTGCTGGTCTGATTGAGACGAACGGGCTTCAGCAGTGCGCACTCGAATGATTTCCAGTCTTACCTCACGTTGCTCGTCTGTTTCTGAAGCAATAAATGCCCTTCGCTTGCATGTTTTAGGTGTAGATGGGCCAATCGCTTGTCGTTTGGGTGGCATAACTGCAAATTTTGAGAAAATAGTGAAAAGCTTGTGAATTTAGTGAGCGTTGATCATCAATAGCTTGAAGTATCGCTGAAATAAATGAAAATATAAGCATGAGATAACAATCTATTTTGACTCAAGAGGAAATGCATAGAAACTGTGCAGCAAACAGTAAGAAAAGTCGGTAAATATAAATAGGTTTCCAGTGTAGCAGTAAGATCTGTGGTATATGTCTTGCGACTATGTAAATGTATATAATTCTTTTGAATAATAGGAGAAAGTCGCAGTTCTGTATAAGAAGAATAATAATAGTAACACGCTAGACAATACGAGAAAGCCAACAGATATTTATCATTGTGGGATGTAAGGAGTGGTCCACACATGTATTTGAAGTTTTTAAAAAAATGTACATAATGACTGATGTCCCTGAAATAAATGCGCTCACTTGTTAAGATATTTCTAGATTCTAACACTGACCTGAGACGGAATTTCATGTAAATTTATATAATTATTTTGAATAACAGAAGAAAGCTAACCAAAACTGTGTAAACATTTAAACTAAAGCAGTTCTGTATAATAAGAATAAGAATAACAAAAACAACAACAACAATCACAATTCACGCTAGACAATATGAATGAGAGAAAGCCAACAGATAAGAATTAATGATAATGTGAATACATTTATCATTGCGGAATTTAAGGAGTGGTCCACACATGTTTGAAGTTAACAAAAAACATGTACATTCTGACTAATGTTACTGAAATAAATGCGCTTACCTTTTTAGATATTTCTAGATAACACTACTAAAAACCGCAGCAATTGTTTTCCTTGTAATAACTTAAATGTCGCGGGCGGATGTTGACGATGGAGCTTCACTAATGCGCATGCACGGTGAAAGTCGATCGCTCATGCACATTTACTAACGTGGCTATAATTAAATGTCACTAAAAATGGAAATATTAGTTTCGAAGATTTTCCCAACAAATGTCGTACACTATCTCTAACAATGACAGGTAGAATTTAAAACCATTACGGGTAGAATTCCGGTACCAAACAAACACATCCTGAAAATTTCAGCTAGATCGGTTCAGTAGTTTCCGAGTCTATAGCTCATAAACAAACACACAAACATTGATTTTTATATATATAGATTGTCTTAGTTGTTCTCCATGTTTCCGCCTGACTCTGCAAAAAAAAAAAATCATGCCAGTTACCACGCACGTCTGGATATTCATTTTCACCAACCTATTTTCTTATTCATCATCGTCATCATTATTATCAGTTTTCACTTCTGCCGTTAAGCGTTATTAGATCAGTTTGAGATCCATCGCCCGATAGGCAGCATTTGTTATTGTCATTCCGTATCGATGTAGAAGCTCTTTAATGTAATCAATCTAACTTCTCCTAGATCGGCCTCTTGCTTTGGCTTCAGATCATATCATGTGTAGCACCTGCGTTGGTAGTTGTTCTGGCTACATTCTTACTAAATGACCAAACCATTTGATCTTCTGTTTGTTAATGAAATTTCTGCATATTTTTACTATTTCTAATTAATTCGAGATGATAAGGCGTGCAGTTCATTACAGAAGAATTAGAGGCGATCTAACAATCTTCTCTTTTTTTTTACTCGGCGAATCCAACAGTTCCCCCCCCCCCCCAACCCCCTGAAAGAGAATGAAGCCATAATATTAGGTTACATAACATAGCTCATACTGTTTGCTCATTTTATTACATCATATTTAAACATTTTACTTTAAGGATTAATGCTGTTTTTCAAGTAACGCATTTTAAAGACATACTTGTCCGAAGCCGACTCCCACCGATCCACACAGAACTTCCTTTTGGGATTACTGAATGCTCACGCAGCACGTGCAAGACATGTCCTTTCGTTTCCAGACTTCTTCGGTCAGTTTTCCAAAAGGCTCTTTCCAAATTAGGGAACCTTTTACTTGCGGATCCCGCAACGTAATTTATGCAGCAAGGCATACATTCGGAAAACTGGCAGGAAGCTAGCTGATCGTTTCCGGGAACACCTCTCCGATATTGACAAAAAGACACTTAAACCAATCCCTCTCTATTTTAATAGCTCTGACCACAGAGGTAAAGATGATAATATATCTGTCACAGCATTAAAACTTTGCTCTAGTGATCATACTATGGGCCTCGCTTTAGAAAATCGCCTCATTCATAGCCTAGGCGTTCGTAGTCCATGTTGTATCAATATCCAACATACCTTCATCTAAATAGTTCTACCCTTATGACATTTTAAATATTAATTATTTTATTTTCTTCTCTCTTTTTTTTCATATTATTTCTTTATTCTATTTCTTATCAGTCAGTATCATTTATATATCATTAACATTTGTATTCCCAGTATTATATTATACAGCCGGCGTAATGCTGACCACATTACCCACAGAGTGCTGATGGTCTGTAAAAATATAGGACGCTCTGCCCATATGCCCGATGCGCCGAAAGGCGTGAAAAGGGAACTTTACTTTTTTTTAAATATTATATTATATATTAACAATACTACTGTTTATTATTTTTTGTGACTATATTTTTTAGCTATCGTTTGTTTTATTTTATTTCATTTTTTCCACACCACATATTTTTAAACGTTGCTCACGTCACCCCTTAGAGATCTACATACTCTCATCTCCTCGTTGTTACGTTTGTGTAGTTCACTATGTTTGATAAAGGCTGCCCGGTCGAAACGTTACGTTGTGTTGTTTTGTGCCCGTTTTTCTGCTTCCTCATTTTGTTGAGCTTTTCAGTCAAATTTCTCTGGAATTCATTTTAAAAAGACATAACGTCATCTTCTACACGTTTTGTTTACAACATTGCAGTTCCCTATACTACAACTAAGTGTCCCTCCGTGTATCTTTCTCTCACACACATACTATGCATATTTAAATAATGTCTGCCTGTCTGTCTGTCTGTCTGGCTGTCTGTCTGTCTGGCTGGCTGACTGGCTGTCTGCCTGCCTGCATGTCTGTCTGTCTATCTGTCTGTTTGTCTGTCTGTCTGTCTCTCTGTCTGTCTGTTCATCTATTCATCGATCTGCCCATCGACCCACCCATCTATCCAACCGTCCACTCTACTCATCCATCTACCCATATATCCATCCATCCATATAATCGTCTTTATTTATACCTATCCATGCATAATCCATCTAATCATATATTCATTCATCCACATATCCGTTAATCTATATATCCATCCATATATTCATCCACCCATATACCCATCAATATAATCACCCACCCATATATCCATCTATACATTCATCCGCCCATATGTACATCACCCCACATATTCATCCAACAATATATCCATCCATCCATTTATTCATCCATCCATCCATCCACCTATCAACCTACCCATCTATCCAACCGTCCACTCACCCATCCATCCATATGTCCACTCATCTATCCATATATTCATTCGTCAGTCCATCCATACATGATCGCTAACGCCATTTGGCAAAACACCTGATGATGATGATGCTTCTTGCATACACCTTTCTCTGCCACCATTTACTTGTGTTGCTTAATCCGTTTCCACTTACAGTCATTTTTTTTTAAATTGCACTTCGTCTGTTTCTTTTGCTAAATGTCATTGCTTTGTTACGCTCGTTTCAAACTGTTAATATATGGTCATCTAAATTTCCATAGAAGCTCAAATAACAGCGCAGACGACAGTGATCATACACCCATAGCTGCAAAAACCAGTCAAATGGTGGAGTTACTTACTGAAGAAAACAGAGCACTTAGAGAAGAGCTGACCATGTCGGCTGTCAAAGTGGCAAAATTGCAAAAGGTGAGAAGGAAATAACCATGTCTATTGTTGAAGTGATGGAACTGTCAAAGATGAAATTTTATTAAAGCATTTAAAGTGGCAAAATTGAAAAAAAAAATTGAGAAGGAAATAACGATGTCTATTGTTGAAGTGTTGGAACTGTCAAAGGTGAAATGTTACTTAAAGCTTTTAAAGTGGCAAAATTGCAAAAGGTGAGAAGGAAATAACGATGTCTATTGTTGAAGTTATGGAATTGTAAAAGATGAAATTTTATTAAAGCTTTTAAAGTGGCAAAATTGCAAAAGGTGAGAAGGAAATAACCATGTCTATTGCTAAAGTTATGGAACTGTAAAAGATGTAATTATATTAAAGCTGTTAAAGTGGCAACATTACAAACGGTCAGAAAGAATTGACATTTTTTTTTTAGTTATAAAATTGCAAAAGGTGAACATTTTTTTGGTTTGGACACCTAACAAGAATGCTCTGGTACTATCTGCCACAGCGAGCGACAATAAAACGTTACAACGGGTATAGAGCGAGCGGAAGCTCATAAAATATGGGGTGATGGTGTTAACAACAGCCTTACAGAAATGAACATTAATCATAATAGTGCTCTTGACAAAGCTCATCAACGAATGTTACATCTTTCCCTAACACTTTACTGAGGTACAAAGTGAAAGAGAAGAAGAAGAAGAAAATCTATTAACGCTGTCAAAGTGGCAAAATTTCAAAAGCTAAGAATGAACTAACGATGTTTATTGTTGAAGTGATATAATTTCGAAACGTAGGTTAATGCTGGCAAAATGGCAAAATGTGAGAATCAACAAACGCTGTTTACTGTTGAAGTGATAGAGTTTTGAAAGATCGGTTAAAGCTAGCAAAGTGGGAAGATTGTGACAGGTTAAAATGAAACAATCATATCCAGTTGTAAAAGTTATAAAATTCCACTCTTTCACGTATGTATTCCACTGTTTCCAGTTTGTTTAGTTTTGTAATAGATCTTCCTGTCCAGTATTCTTCTATTATGTATGTCTTGTTCCGCATTAACCTTTGGTTGTTCAATTAGTCTGTTGTTTTGTCAGTTGATAAATAATGGCCAAAATGTGGTAAAAATGGGTACCAGATATAGTCTTTGAAAGTAAAGGCGGCCGTCAAATGTTTGCGACATCACCCAACGACTGCCAGTTGATCTCTTTCTCTCTCTCTCTCTCTCTCTCTCTCTATATATATATATATATATATATATATATATATATATATATATATATATGTGTGTGTGTGTGTGTGTGTGTGTGTGTGTGTAATAGGCTGGAGAACGCCAAAGACTGCTTGGCGACTTGACGATTTTGGTGTGTTCGGCGCCCGATACCTTGATTTAGTCTAGTTTTAAAATGCCCAAGAGGCTACAGGGACAGCTTTTAGTTTGTAAACCTTGCCAGCCATCAGTTAATAAGAGACCTTGCTTAGCCTTTTAGCGGTCTATCTGTCTGTCGCTCTGTGGTCGGTCCCGTATGGTCAGACGCACTGTCTGCCGTTGTTTGACCACACTTAGTCTCAACGTACAGGTGTGTCAGATCGGACCGGCTGAGCGACGCTAGACTGGCTCGTGTTCACGAAAATGGTACGTTTCATTTGTTTAGGTGGTGTTAGATTTGATTTCCATTATGCATCCTCGGTAGGAGATAGTTTTATGGCAGGTCGCTATAAATGATTTGCTGGTCTGGTGGCATACTAAAGCTTAACGTTCATGTTTAATATGTTTCGGTTTTTGCCATTGTTGAGGTAAGAAATTTCGATGAGCATATGGTGTCATTATCACATTTCCTTGTTAGCTGGAGATGATTAGCACTCTAGATCCTGCCTCTGGTCGAGCACGTTTGTTGTTGTTAATGTATTATTTGTAAAGTATACGTTAACTCTGTGTTCAGTTCAGTAAAACAAACAGCTGTTTAATGGGATGATTATAATTAATTTGCTTGATTTAATTTAGGATCTGTAGTCTGTGCACATGGTTCGTCTAGGTGTATGTAACCATGTAGTTAGGTTGTCTTCAAGTAACTCACTATACAAATATTCTTTGTCTGGGTTCTGATGGAATATTCTAGGATCTCTACGCAGAAGAACCCCTATCTTTTCTTTACTTTCTTGTTTTTGCTGGAACTATTACATTTTGTCCTAATCACAATTTTCTGTTATCTCCCCTACTTTTGTGTTTTTTCTTGTTTCTTTCTTCCCGATAGAAAATATATATATTTAGATCAAGCACTTTATGCACAATATAAAATTGGGCATAGAGAATAGTTATTTACTCTACAATACGACACACTAATGAATCTATTTCCGATTCCTGAACCCCTGCTAATTTTTTCAGTTTGAGATGGAAATTCAGAAAGTCCACGAATCTCACGAGGCCCTGGTCAAATCTTCTCAGAAACAAGAGGCGTTGTGGTCAGCCATGAGGAGGAAGCTGGAGGAGAGGATCAAAGAGTTGGAGGCGCCAAGGTCTGATGGAGGTTAGTGAACACGTTCTATGATTCTGTGCATCACTCATTTGTTACAGTTTCATTGTGTTTGAATTGACGGCGTGATTTGCTTTTGTCAATTTTATCTACAAAGATTAGTTATTGGGATTTAGGATATGTTGCTAAAAACATCTAGACGTTTCGAAACAAAGGCGCCCCCCCCCCCCCCAAATGCCGTAGACATTTTCTAGGCAAACAACGGCGAGGTGGGAGTGGGAGGGGTGGTCCAAAAATATTTAAAAAAAAATAACTAGCTAGGCCCAAAATAACTGGATAAATGGAGCGCCCCTTCGACCTCTCCCCCTATTCATTAAGAAAACTAAGGCCTCCCCACTACCTGTTTGTGTCGCGCTCTGTAGGATCGTGGGTTCGTTTCACAGACGTGTAGCTGGGTTGACCGGCGCCTTTTTTTAAAATACTGATTCCTGGGGAACTTTAGTGGGGCTTCAGAGTTCGTTTTTTGTGCAACGCTGTCGGCAGACAGCTTGCTGTTCTGCGGAGAGAGACTGAGACTATATGCGGTAACCCAGTGCAATGAAGTCGACCTTCTCGATATTAACTTTATCTTTAACTCGACATTCCCATGGTCTGCGATTCCCGTACCCCTCTATAGCACAATCGCACACGATCGTCTGGAAAGACGAAAATTTACCAACAAAATGTTGATATCTTCTTCTTCTTCTTCTTCTTCTTCTTCTTCTTCTTCTTCTTCTTCTTCTTCTTCTTCTTCTTCTTCTTCTTCTTCTTCTTCTTCTTCTTCTTCTTCTTCTTCTTCTTCTTCTTCTTCTTCTTCTTCTTCTTCTTCTTCTTCTTCTTCTTCTTCTTCTTCTTCTTCTTCTTCTTTTTCTTCTTCTTCTTCTTCTTCTTCTTCTTCTTTTTCTTCTTCTTCTTCTTCTTCTTCTTTTTCTTCTTCTTTTTCTTCATTCTTCTTCTTCTTCTTCTTCTTCTTCTTCTTCTTCTTCTTCTTCTTCTTCTTCTTCTTCTTCTTCTTCTTCTTCTTTTTCTTCTTCTTCTTCTTCTTCTTCTTCTTCTTCTTCTTCTTCTTCTTCTACTTCTTCTTCTTCTTGTTTTTCTTCTTCTTTTTCTTCCTTTTCTTTGTTCACGGGTTGTAAGCTCCTGGTTTTTCGTCCACCTAGACTTTGGCTTTGTGCCATTGCCTGAGTCTTGTGTGCACTGCTTTATTTGTGGGCATTTGGACTGATTAACTGACGTTCTACCCTACCAAGACATCACACTGAGCGATAAGCAGCTGGTGACACAAAGTGTCACCATGCGGATGAGGATCAACCCTAAAGAGCTACCGGAAATCCTGTTCCACCGTCAGCTAGGGTGTGGCTTCAAAATAACGAAAAATTGCCTCCCACATGGAGATGACCTTGTGTTAATGCAACTGGTTGTCCCTGGCCGCTCGGACAGTTGCACTCCGACTTCGAAGGAAGCTCCCACGACATACTTTTTTCTGAGTAGGCAGTGGGTCTATTCTTGTTTTCATCACAACATGTCTTAGGAACCCACACGTCGAAATGTTGGTATGAATTATATGTTAATTACCTGACAAGATAAAGCGAAATTTGTCATTCGATAAATTGTGTAATGCGTTGGTGTTTTGCTGACGCCCGCTTTCTGTTAAGTACAACTTAAGTGCGACTGTAGTCGTATTCCATAACCTGCATGTTGTGTGCACATCCGTTTCACAGATCTGGCAGGCTCTTGATTCCTTGCCGTCAAGGCAGATGCACACCGATTTCGAAAGGTGCACAGAATTAGTCCACTTTAACGATTAGCTTGTTGGTGAGGCAGAGGGTCTCCCCCCCCCCCCACCCCCACCCCCAATTGGGCCATGGAACCCACGCGGGGAGTCTGGAATACAACTCGCGTGTTTGAACTTGTGAGCCGCAACCAAGTCTAGGTAGAGCAGTTGTTTTCAACCACCAGGTCGCGACCTTTTTTGGGGTCAAACTACCCTTTCATGCGTGGACTTTTATCATGGTATGGGGCGTCGTACCCAGCCTAAAATGGCTATCCTGGGGAAGTAAAGACGGCCGGCTTAATGATGATCAAATTACCCACCTAGTGCCGATGGTCTGTAAAAATATGAGCCCTCTTCCAATATACCCGATACGCCTAAAGGCTTGGGAAAAAAAATCTTTACTTTTTTTTTTCCTTTTACGACCTTTTTACATGGGTCACCTAAGACCATCGGAAACACATATTTATTGAAGTTATAAAGGAAAATAATTGTTTCCTGTCGCCTGAACATGAGGTAACCATACTAAATTGTCGCGGCATTAGTAATGTTGAGAGTTACTGAAGTAGAGAAAAGATATAGAAAAAGAAAAGAACGAGTTTTGTTCGAAGTGGACTTTTATTTCAAGCAATAATATCTCCTTTTTCTTTCTGTCTAGTACCATCCTAGAAAGCACTCGACTCCTCTCAGCAAAGTATAGTTTGGTTAAATGTTCATGTATTTTTATTATTTGCTTTTGTATTTGTTTATTTTAGTATTAAGCAGTTTTTAACTGATTTTATGTGAGACGCCGTGGTCTAGTGGCTAGACGCTCGCCTGCGGATTGGAAAGTTTGGGCTCGGTTCCTGACAGTGGCCGGATTTTTTTTCAAAAGTGACCTTGGCTCCCAGGTCGACCCAGCCTTGAGTGGGTACCGGGTACAGTCCTGGGAAGTAAAGTCGGTCAGTGTGGTGTTGACTACCCTACCCACCAAGTGCCCGTTTGGTCTATAATGGTCTAGCCCTATATAATCAATTCGTCTAAAAGGCGGGGAAAAGGGTTATTTACTTTTACTAATAAAGATTGCGCAACTAATTTAATAGCAATTTATAATATTCAAGTGAAGTAAAAATTCCTTCTCACGACTTTTAGGCGTATCGGGTGTAAAGCAAGAGCCACCCTTTTCTTAACAGAGAATCGGCACTAGGTGGGTAATGTGGTCAGCATTACGCCGGCTGTTTTTACTTCCCATGGATTTAAATACATGGATTGTATTTATTTTAGGCTGTGTTGACCTGCGACGCCCCATACCATGATACAAATCCACACAGCTTGCAGTGGGTTTCGATTGCGGTATGTTGAAATTACGAGTCGGACTCGCAGCACCTAAGCCAGTAAAAACAGCATTTTCTTTTCATGAGAACTGATTAATCATTATTCCCTTATTTCTTTTGGGAAAATTCGTTTGGTATACGTCCTATTTGGTTCCAAAGATATGAAGCGGATTACGGACGTATACTGAGGTATCATTGTACTTTTCATTATTCCTGTTTATTTACATTGCAAGGAAAAGCATTGGTTTGAACCTACCCACCAACCTACTTACCTATCTCTCTTTCTGCCATCTATTGTCTCTGTCTGTCTGTTCGTCCGTCCGTCTGTCTGTTTCTAAGTGTGTCTTTTCTGTCTGTCTGTCTATCTGTCTTCCTTCCTACCTAGTTATCTATTTATATATCTATGTCTGTTTGCCCGTCTTTTTTTTTTAAATCTCTGAATCCTTTTTTTTACGCTCTTTTTATCTCACCATCTCTATCTCGCTTCCTCGATCCCCCCCCCCCACTCTCTCTCTCTCTCTGTCTCTCTGTCTCTCTCTCTCTCTCTCTCTCTCTCTCTTTCTGTGTGTTTCTATCTCTGTCTGTCTATCTGAGTGGAAAACGTTACCACTGTGCACCAAACAAAAGTTCTACCCTCTGCGCTACGACTGCCATATGCATACCTCAGTATCACGTGATGAAGTTAGTTAGACAGTAAGCAAGCGAAAAGTTTGCAGGAAAAATAAAATAAAAGCAGAACTATTGATGATTCATGCTATTTCATCGCCGGGAATGTTCAGATTTGGCAGCTGGACCGTGAGAAAGTCGGGACTGCGCAGGTAAACGGGGAGACAGAAATGATATGAACAGCATTTTGGCGCGATTCAAGATGCAACGGTAAGAAACAGACAGGAAGAGGAAAAAAAAAAAAAAAAGCGCAGGAAAAGACACTGTATGCACGGGAAATAATGCACTACCTGAATGGTTCAAGACAAGATTTCAGGCCCCTTATTTCAGCCATTGTATGAGTTTGCCTGGTTCTGCTGTTTTGTGGTTGAGGCGTTCAGGGTGGTGAGCTTCAGTTGTGTAGCTGCCAGCCTCTGTCTGAGAACACTTTGGGAGCTCCAGGCTTGTTTAATTGTACAATAATAATAATAATTATTTTTGCTAATAATGTTGTATGGTGAAGGGTTCGCATTAGCATAACCGATAGGATACTCGCTTTAAAATTCAGCTGTGGCTCGCTGCAGCCCACCGCCGGTGTTCGCAGCCGGGCGGTTCCTGTGCCTAGCTCCCATTCTGTTGTGTGTGTTTTTTTTAAGCTAAAACACTTTGGTTGTGTCGACCTGGAATCGCCTGCCGAATCCGGCCAGCAGCGGCCCACTGATCATTACTAAAACAGTGATCTCTCAACACTGAGGATCAGGCTTCTGACCGGTAATGATCCCTAATTGTAACACCCCCACCCCTTGTAACCTTTCCCCCTATTGAACTAGTTGAATAAACCTGCCCTTAGATCAGCGGTTCTCAACTTACAAGTTGCAACAATTTTTTTTTTTTTTTTTTTTGGGGGGGGGGGGGGGGGGGGGGGGGGGGGGGGGGGGGGGGGGGGGGGGGGGGGGGGGGGGGGGGGGGGGTCGAACCCCTTTTTTCACAGGCTCGCCTAAGACCACAGGAAAGCACATAATCATTGAAGTAATGAAGGGACATAATTGTTTGGGGGTCACTACAACATGAGGGGACTGCATTAAAGGGTCGCGGCATTAGGAAGATTAAGAGCTTCTGCCCTAGATTAATGCCTACATTGCATAATGATTGCAACGGCCTTGACGACGCCGCTGAAAGTGGGCACACAAAAAACAAAGGCCAACAGCTCCGTGAACTTGACGCCTCCTCTGTCACGCGACTGTGATGTGACTTCATGCGGCACATTCCTTGTTATTCCTTGCGAA